TTAAACAAAAGAAACAATCTCCGTCCTGGTTAGTTCACTTCCTCTAGAAGAAGAGGTAACTCTATTGCAAGTCTCAAAACCCCTATAACTATGATCTACTCCTAAACTCTTGGACCTGCCAAATTCTACGGCTTTACAGGGAACACAACCTAAGCAAGACACTGAAGCAGAAGATTTAACAGAGCACATCAGACTCTTCCCAGAAACCCTTGTGGGAAGTCTATTACGAACCTAAGTGTTGTACCCTTATACAACAGTATAAGGGTACAACAATATTCTTATGCAAGAGTATAAGGGTACAACAGTATTAAATTAAAAATATAAAAGGTACAACAAAATATCCTATAGAAAATCAATTGCTCAGTATGCTAAATGTATGTGAATGTTTATGGAATGTAATATTTTTTGTAATGATGCATATGCCACCACTCTTCACAATTTCTTCATTTTTTCCCTGTGTCTCAGTTTCCAAACTGTTTTGCTTATAGAGGTTAAAACGTATCTATTTAAAATCTTTAAAAAATTAGTGTGATCAGCGGTGCAGATGAATTGCTCCTGCTAATGAAACTGCAAACTAATCTACAGTATTTAATACTGTTAAAATTGTTTACTAGAACTTTTATTTGTTCTTTCTTTAAAGAGGAAACCCACAATAATTGTGCCATCTAAAGGGATAACTGGATTTTAAATAGATGTTGAAATATTTTGACAGTGGTGAGTATCTCTTTCACTTCCATCCTATTCAGCTGAAACCCTGTTTGTTCTCTTACAGCTCCATTTTCCACAGCCCCAGTATTCCTCAAAATCAACCACTTGAGCCCATGAACTCCCAACATCTATACTTTCCACCAGACCCCATCTATTAAACCATTGACACTTAATCCGTGGAGCTTATCAGTGTCCATGCATCATTAGGTGTACTTAGAAATGGTAATACATATAGAATCCATTCTTAAAAGCTGAATGGGGAGTGCAGAGCTACTAAGGGGCTTTTATGGAATTGGGAAATGTTAGGAAAACAGGGCTATAAATGGGAGAAGAGGGCATACAGAGCAATAGGAAGGAGGAACAGTTTTGTGGGGATTCAGGAAGGGAATTAAGCAATTGCTCAGAGACGTGAGAAACATGACCTATGCCGGAGGTCACACAGAGAATAATCTATGTCCATATTTCTTTTCATGGAGATGTATCTATTATACATGTATGTGCAAGAACCACTGTGGTGCTTAGTTACTTGAAAAGTTAGGAAATTACTACACAAAATAGCTTTGCTAACAATTGCAAGCTGTGGAAAACAAGGAAGCTGCATCCTATTGGTATCCCACTCACCTTTTTCAGTCTCAGCTACCTTCCATTCATCACTCACAGCTTCAGTCTCTACTTCTTTCTATTCATCATTCCTGTCCCTTTTTCATTCTCAGCTACCTTACATTCATCACTTGCAGCTCCTGGTTCCTTGATTTGCATCCTGAATAAGCAAACTGGATTTATTGCTTTAAATTGGTGCTTTCCAAACTATTTAGACCACTGACAAACCCTCAGAATTTCTCAGGGATCACCTCATGCTCTTACAATCAAAATATTAATTGAAAGGAGAGGAAGATGCAGTCCATGGACCATGGTTTGGGAGCCACTGCTTTATGAAACCTCTTCTGTTATATGCAGGAAGGGTGGCAGGCACCTTTTATGGTGTGTTAATAGAGAGAAATGCAGTATAAAATGTTATCACCAGAGACTGAAGCAAGGATGTCTTTGGGTAGTATCTTTTATTGGATCAATTGCATAACTGGGATAGAATTAGACAAGCTTTTGAATGCAAGATATTCTTCTTCAGGTCACAGCATTCAAAAGCTTGTCACACTGTATTCCTATTATGCAGTTGGTCCAGTAAAAGATATGGTCCAGAGATACCCTTGCCTCTTGCGTATTCCTGGACCGTCATGGCTACAATGTCACTCTAACACTATCAACAGTGTCTCTCACTCTGTCGCAGGAATGTAAGAACAGTTAAGATGACCAAAATTAAAAATATTGTAGCAGCATAACTGTAATTACTTACAGTTAAAGCGGTGCTGTTTTGTGTGCAAACTTGGAACAAATGTGTACAAATATTTGAATAACTGCTTCCTTAACACAGATGGAATTTGATGCAAAGGTATGTAGAGCCCATGCTGCTCTGCCACTACCTTCTTCCAGCCTGCCTATGCTTCTGTTACTAGTCTGCTACAATTTTGATATTACTGGATGTTAGGAAGTAGAAGTGAGTCCTAAGACCAGTAGCAGCTCTGCAGACCACCTGGCCGGCTCCATCAGACCCATCACCCTACTTGGGTGCTTCTGCCGCTGCGCATTCACGCAGGGCTCTCCCTTTCACGAGGTTGTCCTTGTAGGTTTCTGAGGGCTTGTAGGGGCTCCAGCTGTTAAAACCTTGGCCCCTTTTTCTGCCTGGGCACACCCACCATGGCCCACTAGTAAAAACCTCAGCTTCTGGGCTTTAGGTCCAGACTCAATGACAATCTCACACCTTTTTAGAGTTCCATTTCCGTGTGCCAGGTTCTGCCTCACAGCTTGTAGTTGTCTTTTAGGCCCTACAGCAAAACAGAGGGGTGCATCCAACACCCTTTTCTACATCCTCCTCTACCCCTACAGCTGCAATCCAGTCCTTCAGTTCAAAAGTCCAAATCAAATCAAAACAATAAACCAAAAGGTGCAAGCTATGTGCTTCGCAGAAGAAATAAGAAGTCTCCCTCTGTCAGAGCAGCCTGCCGGCCTAAACTGGGAGAGGAAGCCTCCTTGACAGGTTCCCTAGGTAGCTTACATGCCTGTCTGCACCTGCAGCACACGCACACTACATGCTCCAATTGGCTTGGTTTAGCTTTGGGCTGGGTTTAAATCCCCTAACCCAGCCTACTTCCAACCAAACCTGCTGCATCCTGTGTGTGGTTGGTCGCTCATTAATCTATTAGCCACATTAGTGCCAGGTGCAGCCTACCTGTACTGCTACCTTTAATTTTCTGCCCTCTCTGGCCTCACCGGTAACATGGGCAGGGGTTCCCTGTTATACTTGGCTGTACTTCTGTTGAATGGACCGACAAAATTGGGAGAGAGGCTGATGGCTGGGAGGTAGTGGAAAGGTCCCTGGTAATAGCTATGGAACTTAAGGAGGCATGAAGTAATATATGCTCTGTACAGTAGGTCCACTGTCATTATCTGTGGCTAGTAGTTCTCTGGCTATTAGGTATCTGATGACATTTCCAATCCTGGAGGGGTGTAGATACTGGTAGAAGGAAGAGAGAAATGTGTGTTTATGAAAGAGAAGGGAAGAGAAAGAATGGCAGATTATATATAGGGGAGTATAGGGAGCACAATAAAAGGGAAGTTTGGGAGGCAGAGGGAAATGGACACTGAGGAGGGGACTTGAGCACGTGCTTGGCTGCTTTACTCAATGAAGATCCTAAGCCATTAAACTCAGAAAGAAGGCTGCCTGTGGAAGAAGTGGGGGTTGGCAGCACTAGTATTTTTCCACCCTGGCTCAATTCTTGGACAGAAGATTAATCTGCTTATTCAAGAGGGGAGATTGTTTAGAATTTAAAATCTTGACCTAGCAATTGTAGATCAGAAAAGATAACTTGTCAGTGAAATTTTCAAGCTGTGGGAGAAATGATGCAGTCTGGATTTTAGTTGCAACTTCCAAACAGAGTCTAATGCAGTCTCCGAGTTTTGAACTGTAATGGGATTTGAGATCTCATTTTGCATTTATATTGGCCCTACCTTCATAGATAAACTTTTACACAAGGCAATATGGGCTGCAACCACTCAAGTTAAATAGTCAAGAAGTGATGGACTAAGAAACGCGATTCACTCAGTACATAAAATTATGCAATGTTGAAATGGTATCCTCCCACATTTTAATATCCATATAGGCATGTTAAGTAAATATAGTGAATATTTGTGTGTGCTGCCATTTGGAGCAGGTAAAGCTTTGTCTACATGCAAAGCTGTATCAACTTGACTAAGGCTATGGACAATTGAGCAAATTGCAGCAAGTTAAAAGGGGATAGGATTTTACTATAGATCAGCTGTTTTGCATCAACTGCTACATACATATTCTGACTCTACTGTAAGTAAAGGCTTATCCCTCTTTCACTGACTTTCCTCTTGGATGCGAGTGGGTACAGACATGTTTACCATGTGGTAGCTGAAACATAGTAAAGCCCTGCTCCTGTTTAACTTGCCATAATTTTGCATCTGTTTAATATCATGCCTTTCAGATATAAAATTGCACATTACATCTAGATACTCATGTATCATTTTAAGAGTAGTTTGTGCTGGGTAGGCTTGAGGAGCATCCATATGTTTGCACTGGCTTTTAAATGGGTTTGAAGAATAAGTTCAATTTCTGGGTGTAGATGAACCCTAAATGTGAGAGAGAGGCATACTCGGAAAGCACCCATATTTTGGAAGTTAACTCTGTGCGACTACCAGCAATTAATGCTTTGAAGTCACTCTTGTCTGAATATTAGAACATTTAATTATTTTATTATTGTATTTTAAAGTATATTTATTATATCATAACTATTCTAAACCATGCATGCATTTTTGTTGGGTGTGATCAAAACTCCAGATATATCAGTGGTAGTAAACAAATAGACAAAAAGTAATGTTGTTTGCTATCATTTGCCTGTAGTAGCACAAGGCCTTTATTGGGTTCTTGTCTGATCCAGTGCTTAATGCTTGCAATGAACAATTTCTAATCACTAAAAAGATTTCTGAGAAACTAATGTGATGGATGGAAGTAGTAAGTGGAGCAAATATCAAATGTTTCTCAAATAAGTTTCAGGAAAACAAAAATATATACAGCACAGGGTTTTCCTGAATGTGTTTTGCAAAGTCGCTCAGCGGTGTTTTCTTGATGACTAACAAGCACAGGTTTGTAATGATGTCTTTCTGTTAGCGTGCACATTTAAATGTTTTTTCTCTCTCCTGTTTTCTGTCTGCAGGTAAAAGTATCTTGACAACCAATCAAGAAAGTGGATTATTTTTTAAACTATGTGCGTGCGTCTGTAGAAATGATTTGTGGTTCAGTCCAGCTGGAGCTGACTGAATGAAGCTATGGGCTGTGCATCAGCCAAGCATGTTTCTACTGTTCAAAACGAAGAGGAAGCTCAGAAGGGGAAGAACTACCAGAATGGAGATGTGTTCGGTGGTGAGTGTTGCAGACTCTTCCTGGCTTCCGCACCGTCAGTGTTGTTGAAATTTTTAATTGGCAGTTTTATTCGTGTCATAAGCTTAGGGAAAAATAAAGAAAGTGAAATCATGATGACCTACATCATGTAGAACCAACTAAGAGACAAGTTGTGGCACACTTGAAATTCTTTTGTAAGTTTTATGAGAAATTTTACCCTGGCACCAGTGTGTGCTATGATGGTCTTCAATTGCACACAGTGTAGGGGAGTTCAAATACAAATATTTAGTCAGAATTCCCAGATTTCCTCTATTACATCTTGGAATGTAATTGACAAATTTGCTAACAACCTCCTGCTCTGTAGACAAAATATTGCCCCATCCTCCTTGAGCATTCTGGAACACCAGTATAATGTCAAACCAAAGCCCTCTAGAGAACATGATTTTGAAGATATAATAAAACTGGAAGTGGCAACATTCATTGACCTTCTCTGAAGATTGGGGTGGAAATGGCAGATTTTGTAGGTCGTATGTAAGCATCTGTTTGGGTGGGTGGGAAATTGTTTACAAGTCAGAATTCTGTCAGAGTAATGCCACATTAAAAGATAAAAACTATATCATACTTAACTGACCAGTATGGTAATGTCAGTGTTGTTTTTTTCAACCTTATATACACTGTTATGTAAATAGATTAGAGGCTTCCAGACCTGTCCAAATATGGTTGCAATGAACCATAAACAAAGTCATATGTTGGCAACCTATGACCTGTGGGCAGGATCCAGCCTGGAAAGCCATTTGATCTGGCCCACTGATATGGGCCTGTGGTGACATTCAGTAGTGGTTTTTGGGCAGAAGTCGCTTTCCCATGCTGTTGCAGGGAGATTTGACAGAGGCTTCCTCTGACCCAAACGGAATCACTCTGGTCCTCAGTGTAAACATGCTGCCGACAGCTGAACAAGGTGGTTTGGGATTGCATTACAAGCTGCTTGGATCTGATATCCTTAAAATAGATAGATGTACTACTATTTAGAATGCCAGGCTTCTCTCCTATTGTGGTTATAGCAATTATTTGTGCAGAATTAAGAATGTCATGTTGCAGTGGTAAAGCTATTATGCTGTTAAAAAAAGTGGGAGGAGCTTGACTTCTTCAGGCTGTCTGATGAAGCTAGGTTTATTTCCAGCTGCAGACTTTAAGTAAGATTATACAGATTAAATATATAATCTTAGCAGAATTTCTTCCAAAAGTCAGACCTTCATGTTGGGGATTTTTCCACTCATGCTGTACTTCACTATCCTGTAACGTTTAACTTTTCTGGCATTCTGACTTCAGTATTTGAATTTATACAGATAGCCAGCTCACATTTGCAGAGCAAACTTGTTAAGAGCAATAATTGCTTACTAGCAGTGTTTCTCTTGGGGACATTTTCCGTGCCACACCTGGGCTACTGGTGCCTCTCGAGTCTTCCACTGGCACTTCCACCGACGCTTCTGGTTTCGTGGCTGACGTTTCCAGGGGGGTGTGCGGCCAATCTCAGGGAATGCACATGGTGTCGCCAGTGATGCCACATAGATGAAATCCTGTGTAACAGCTACAGCCACATTGGAGCACCATAGCAGCAGGTCTCCGAAATGATGCTATTAACTGGCCTTAGATAATCTTTTGGAGCTGAAGTTCTGCAATCTTGTCCTCTTGAGCAAAGCACTTAGTGCATATTTAGGTGACATGAAATTCACTGTCCCTTAAAAACTTCTTAAATGCTTTGAATTAAGGCCAGAATGCATACAGAAACCCAGGCTGTCCTCTCACGGCTAGAGGTGGGCCCTTCAGATGGGGTTACCTGGACTTGCTGCCATCTGCACTGCACCTGTTCTCTGAATCAGTGGAGTATTTTGATATCCAGGATTGTGAGTGTGTTGCAGTATTCATGACACTTAATTCCTGAGCTATTTTCTTTATATATAATAATGTCTAAAATTGTGCCTAAAGATGGCATTGATTAAACTCGTCAACCGCCTAATGGAATTTCCTCAATGTCTAGAGCTGTATGTTGATAGTGAAACCCATGCTCTCATCCTCATCCTGACCTGTTGCCTCTTGATATGAGTTGGGTCTGAAATTGCAAAAGTTTTTAATTTACTGCTAAACATTCATTTTGTTAATCTGTAACAGATTCCTGTATGCATCCGTAAAATTATTTCTTCAGCAAAGACTAAAAGGAAAGCATTCAGTTCCGTATCAAAGAGGTGTCACAATCAGTCTATGACAACAGCTAACAAGGCAAGATTTTACCACAGGATTTCAAATATAACAATGAATCTTAGTAAAGTGAGCCCTTGCATAGAGGGGGTCCATGCAACTATTACAAGTGATTCATAGCACAGACAAGTGATGTAGTACTTCCAGGGTTCACAATTCACTGCCACCTGCTAGCTGTGAAAAACCTGTTCGATGTTTTGGACAGCTGAAAGTAAGAAAAACAGCAAATGTATCTGGTCCAGCCAAAGGCAGAGGAGAGAGCATCTTTGCAGCCTCTTGGAAGTTGAACTTAATGTCAGGCCAGATTACAGGCAGTCCTTAATTTACGTTTTGAGTTGCAATGTTTCACACTTACAAAGTTTATAAATTGACACCCTGTTTCAACTTTCTGATGTCAGTTTTGACTTTACGATGCTTGATCCACTGCGACACCATGTCAGCAAACAAGTTCACTATGTTGCCCATCTCTCTGGAGAACATCTGTCCAAACTTCCTTGGACACTTT